GCTACTTTGTGCAAAGTTTCATTCGTTTTTTTTTCGACAGAAAAATGGTCAGACGTTATAAAAAAATACCTGGAACGAGAAACTACCGTGATTACACTTTAGAAAAGCTGCAACAATGTTTGCAAGCAGTTGTTGGTGGTATGTCGATTGCAGAAGCTTCTCGGAAGTACAAAATCCACAGAAATACTATCTCTAATAAAATTCACAAGAAACACGTGAAACTTCCTGGTAAACTATTATTTTTCTTCTACAAAGATTTTTCTAATGACTTAATCAAACGATTTAACACATAAAAATATATTTTATAGGACATCGGGTAATTTTGACAGAAACTGAAGAGCAAGTTCTGTCATGTTCATTCAAGGATGTTATGTTCAAATTTAACAATATTATAAATGTTAATGAATATGTAATAATTATTATTTTTAAAATTTCATCCATTTCAATGTTTAAAAATGTATATGGTTTCCTTTTGTTTAAACTCAAATGTTTTGAAATAAGCATTCTTTTTAAGAAAAAATTCTTCAAAAAAAAATGGTTTTTAAACGCTGAAAATTATTTACAAAATAATATCTTTATATATCTTGATGTTTTTGCCTTTAAAAATGTCAGCAATTAACTTTTTTAACAATTTTATATCAATATTTCACAAAAAACATGATTATTAAACTGAATTCCTATAACTGCACAAAGTAGCCCCATTTGGGGGCTACTTTGTGCAAGGTATGTTTTGACTTATTATTCGTAAATATTACATACAAATAATGTCAATATTGATCAAATTCACTTGTCTGAGTCCAGTTATGAATATAATATCGATAAATTTTACTAAAGTTTGAATTAACATGGTTTTTTTACATGTCAAAGTTCAAAAACTGCGGTAGGCATTTTCCATAAAACTGTTCATAATTTCTCCGAAACAGTTCATATATTTTGCTTAAAAAGTTGGACAACAGGTAATTATAGTTAATTTTGCTTTATTCATATATCACACACTTAAGTTGCATTAAAAAAGTTGATTTCTAATTCTAGCTTCAAATAGTTTAAAATTACAGTATACAGAACCTCTTATCCGGAAATCAGAAAGCCGTAACGTAGTTCGATAAATTTTCCGTCCATTTAAAAAAAAAATCTTTTTTTTTCTGTTTAAGATTTTAGGATTCTTTTCTCTCGATCTTTTAAAAGATGTTTACTTTGCCATTATTCTAGTAATAATCATTTTGTTCCCTAGTCACATTATGTCAATTTATAAGATCCAGCAGTTGCTCATACAACAAAAACCAAATTTCCATCAAAAGAAAATGGATGAGTTTTTTTTTCAATAAATGCTGATACTTTTTTTTTAATTTCACTTTTTATCGTTCAATTTATATTAAGTTTGTATTTATTTTTTATTTAATTAATTTTTTTCCTTTTTATCTTATTAAACTTATGTGTATTACTTTATCGCTTTTTCTTCTTTTTAAAACTATTTTTAAATATTTTTTGGTCAGTTGGGTTTGATAAACAATAAAAAAAACGGCTTTTCGTAGGGATTCAGAAAACCGGAAAAATCAGATGGTCCTGATCGTTACGTATAATCGGTTCTCTACTGAATTGTTTTTAAAGCTTCAAAGGTTAAAGTTGTTGCTCCAAACTGCTTCAGAAGTGAAAAGTTACTGCTCTAATTTGTTCCTAACATACAATCACATCAATGTAGTTGACAATTTTAACCCATTTTATATTAAGAATTTTGGAAAATATTAGTTCTAATAGGGATTGGTATTTTTTAAATTAGCCAATCTTTTTTAAGTGTCTTAAATTTAAAAACAATAATTAAAAAAACTAACCAGCTTTATTTTGGTCAGGCTAATATCTGTCAACCCTGATATATATAACACTACAAAAATATATTCAGGATATTCTGTACCAACTGTTCCAGTACATATATTTGGAAATCTTATAAAAAGGGAAGTAAAAAGCTATACACGTTTGCAACCACATATTAAAAGAAGATTAAGTTAGAGGGAACAAGAACATTTTCATATTCTGATCCTTTACATTGGTGTCAAAATGAGTGAATAAAGGATTAAAATCATGTGCAAGAGTTGGTTCTAGTGTTAGAAGTATTTTTTTTCTTTCACTTAATAAATAATTTCGAATAACTTATGTGCACCATGCTTGCTGCATAATTTTTTTTGCAGAATTTTAAAAATATATATTAATGATTATTACAGACAAAAATATTATTGCAGAACATCCTGCGTAAATATAAAATAGACATTGCAGTTTAAAATTTAGTATTGGGCATTCAAATGTAAACATACATACAATAAAATTTATCAGTGAATTCTAATTATATCACAAAACTACAAACTTCACAACAATACGAATTCATTGTAAAATAAAAATTACATTAAAACTCAAAATAATTATATACCAAAGATCTATATAATGCTATTCTATTAACAACAATCTTTCATACTAGACATTAACTATAACATTAACTCTCAAGAAAACAAAAATTGATAAAATTGTTAATTTTTAGTTCTAATGCTTTTGAAAGAATAAAATTTTCTTCTAATTATAAATACTTTAAGTGAATATTTTTATTTCTTAAACTTTTGCACTTCAAAAATATTTTAAGACGGTAATGATGACATGTTTCAGGTATATATTGGTATATATTGCAATATTTATTTGATAAGTTTAATGATATGTGAAGATATCTATATAACTCAAAATTTTATAAAATGCAAAGTTATAAAACATCATAAAGATCATTTATTCTATCTCGATTAATGCACATATCAAAGGGAAATGAATGATATAAGGGGAAACAAATTAATCAAAGATTCTAATTACTTGATCTTTAGGAAATATCTTTTTCTCATCAATCATAGTTGCTACAGGCTGCAGTTCTTTTTCATCAAGGTCTTCTATTCTATCTCGATTAATGCACATATCAAAGGGAAATGAATGATATAAGGGGAAACAAATTAATCAAAGATTCTAATTACTTGATCTTCAGGAAATATCTTTTTCTCATCAATCATAGCTGCTACAGGCTGCAGTTCTTTTTCAGCAAATTCTCGAGAAGTCTTCTGAAGCATTTTGTGAGTATCGGACAAAAGGTATGCATTTGAGATTGATCTGATGCCTACTGTTTTCTTCAGAAATGGTTGCCCTGAAATATTTTTTTACAGTGAAAATAGTAACAAATATTAGAAGCTGTGACAACAGAAACCACTCTTCAGAGATATATTTAATTTCTAATTTTTTAACGTCTCCATATTTTACATAGCAATGGATATATCTTACCTAAGAGTTATATGATAAGCAGAATTTTGCATCCTTTTGTTGCAATAATAAAGAAGTTACATCTTAAAAGTTTCAGATTTCTTTTATTCTTATTGATAAGAAAAAAATACCATGTAATTGAAAATTAAGCTCTTCATTTACATGCAAAAAACATAACTAATTTAAGCACTTTCAGTAAATAAAATAGTCTGAAATAAGTTTGAAGTTAATGGGAATGGTTCATTAATTATATACTTTTCCTGAATTCTATATGATTTAAATTTCGTGAACACTCATTTTTGTGAAAATTTCTTCTCTATGAAGAAATAATCAAACTTATATGAAATATAAATAGAGCTAAGACATGCTAATGATTATAATTAAAAAGCAATTATAAATGTACCACTATTGTGCATATTTATTTGTACTACTATCAGTAATATATGTGACGAAGTTTTAGTAATTAATTACAATTCCTTACATGATGTTGCTATTTTCACAAACATAAGTGTAATTTAAATTGAAAAAAAAACAAAAACAATTACATTCGAAATGAAAGTTTTTTAGTATTAAATTTTAGAAAACAGCTACAAAAAGACAAAGTCAAACAATAAATAAAAAAAGGTAAAAGTTGCAATTGCGTTACTACGATCACTGGTTGCCCATTGGTCAAATGCTTTTTCTTTCTAGTTTGAAACGCTACAACATTTCAAATCATGGGTTGCAAAAACTGTCTCAATTGATGTTTGTCGTCGTATTGGTTTTCAAATCCTGCCTATATGAACGTGCCTCAAGATGTCAAAAAATACTTTTCCTTCTTCAGTATTCATATTTATATTGAAATCACCGTCAAGCCAGTAATTATAAGTTAATGATAAAAATAATATAAAAATACTTTAAATTATAATTATGTAAATACATTAAAAAGTGATAGAGCGTTCGCCTTTCAATGAGGTGAACCGGGTTCGAATCCCACCGATGGATGGCCAATACGAATCCGCACCCGGCTTGCAAAGACCACAGTGCTGACGTAAAATATCCTCAGTGGTAGACGGATCATGGGTTAGAGTCCCCTTGCCATCAGGCTAACCGTGAGAGGCTCTCGCGGTCTTCCTCTCCATGTAAAGCAAATGCGGGTTAGTTCCATCCAAAAAAGTCCTCCATGAAGGCAAAATTTCATCCAATACTTCATCCAGGAGTTTCCTTATCTTCTGGATTGGGTTCAAAATTACAAGACTACGTAGTTAAACATTAGTAGTCGTAAATCAAAAAATTGGGTCAGCTGTTCAACGTTCAACGACGGTTGCAAAATATAAAATATTGGAACCTGTTCATGCCAACTGAAATTGCCAAGGCACTAAAAGAAATTGCTCAGTAGTTCAACTTGGATTATAGGGAAAAAAATACATACTGGGTTGCATGGAGATGGTTAACAGGTTTAATTGTGGAATTTTAGTTTCTCCTTACCGATTTCTGGAAATCACCAATACTTGGCAATTAAATTAGCTCTACCGATACAGAAATCTTTCACAAAGAGATCGGTATCTTTCAGATAACCAAGTGCCAGCAAAAAATCAATAAGAAATATAGATCTCCACCAACTTTATTTCAACTCACATAAAAATTAAATGACGTAAAATATATTCAATAAAACTTTTTCAAAAAAACAGTTGAATTTAATATAATTAATAAATCTTTTTCTTTCTTTGATAGGAAGAAGAAATGAAATCCATATAGAAAATTAGAAATTTAGGATTAGCATATTTATTATGCTATATGGAGAGCTGATTACACCTACTCATTTCTGCCAAAAAGTTTATTAATTTGCAAAATTTTTAGAAAAGTTTGTGTGGTTTTCTTGGTGATTGTAAGGATTTTACCTTTTCAGTTGGCCCTGTTATGTTTTATTTCATTTTATTTATTTATTCATTTATTTATTTTTTAGTTTATCTGAGGTCGCTGCCAGAAAAGGCCAAAATTTTGAAGTTATTTCGTCGCGTACATCAATATGAAAATCATCCAAAAAAAAGAAAAATGCTTTCAATAAAAGTTTAACCAGCACGCTTTAAATACTCACTTCAAATTTATTCTATAAAAAAATTCTCAATGAACTCCATATTTAAAGCTTGTTTAGTTTTTTCAGTTATTTGGTTTTCAAATTAATCATAAAATATCCGTAAAATTCAAAAGTAATCTTTCCCCAACATAATTTGCAGTGTTCATTAACTCAGCAATTGACATTGTTACCAAAAAAAAAATCCTCAGAAACCTTTACTTTGTTCAATTAGTTTCCTATTATTTTTTTAATAATTCCTATTATGAATTTGATGAATTTAAGTAATTTGTTATCATACCGTTATTCAAACTTAAAAAAACTTTATTTAAAAGCTCAAATAGAAACACACTGTAAGTCCTTTCTAGAAAACGCACTAAATGCAAATATGTTTTATTATGCTCTTAAAATTAATGAAACATGCTCTTAAAGTGTTGTGACACAATACCATATGTTGTTTTTGAAATATTCATAATTCAAACATAATCATATTTAATTTAAACACAAATAAATGAATAATTAAAACAAACAAATAACACTGATTACTGGCCTTAGCAATTAATGCTGCACTTTTTATAGGCTTTAATTTCTCTGAACTTATTTTAGAAGAGCTTCTGTTTATCAATATCAAGTGTTTTTAAATTGATAATAATTAGACAGCTCTTACCATAAATCAATTCTACAAATTATTTATAGACAGTTTATTGACGATATTCCTTAACTTAAAGTTTTGCAATAACATAAATTTCTAAAAAATTTTTTTTGCAATAATATGATAAAAATTTTACTATTATTTAAATGAGAAATAAAACAGATTTTAATATCTATGAATTTTTTATTTACCTGATAATCGGAAGAGTGTTCCTAAATAATTTTTTGGTAGCATGAGACCCATGTTTGCACGAAACCCAATCTATGATAAAAATCCCTCCAAAAATATCACACATTTACTTTATAAAAGAAATTTCGTTTTAACTATCAACATAAAATTTTTATCGTCATTTTTTTCCTTCAGAATTGGTGGATACACCTGCTCTATGTCTTTCTTCCATTTTTACAGGTACGTAGAATAGAAAAAAAATCGCGTATAGAATATGCAGAATGTTAACACAGGAATAAACAAATACAATAGTGGTAAATCAAGACTTTAAAGAAGCAAGATAACTTACGGAATCCTTTTTTCGAGTGTGCTATGTTGGAAATGTTAAGTTTCAACTGTTAATTTGAAATAGAAAGTTCGGCAATCGTAATAATTTTACATTTATTGCATATTATATACATTCTCTTTTAAGGCACCATTCTTAGTAAAAAAAATAATTAAAATAATTTTATTTTAAAAAACATGGTATGAATTAATGAATCGAATTAAAGTTTCACTCAGAAATTTCCAGTTAAACTTCAACTTATGGTTATATAGCTCTAACAAATAATTATTAATGCTGAATACATAGTACTTTTTTCCTAATATTTAAATATTATAATGCGCTTTATAATGTTTAAATAACACACATTTTTGATGTTGTTTAAGCAAATTAATAGCAAAGTAAATGGTGTTTTTTATTAAACATAAATTTTTAAGCAAAATCATACTAAATCTAGATTTTTATTTTTTTTTCCTTAAAAAAAGCAACAATAATTAGTAAAAGTAGAGATACATTACATCTAAATTATACGCAATAATTTTTTTTTAAATGCCAGGAAAGAAACTTACGTCGTAAACAAATATACAAAAAAAGGAGAGAAAAAAATCAGTAATAATTTTTTATAAACAAATCTTAAACTGACAAATAAATGCCATTGAAATTAGAAAGGATAATTATATTTATTACGAAATAGATACTTTTAATAAATTATAATTCACAAGGNTCTCCACCAACTTTATTTCAACTCACATAAAAATTAAATGACATAAAATATATTCAATGAAACTTTTTCAAAAAAACAGTTGAATTTAATATAATTAATAAATCTTTTTCATTCTTTGATAGGAAGAAGAAATTAAAGCCATATAGAAAATTAGAAATTAAGGATTAGCTTATTTATTCCGCAATATGGATAGCTGATTTCACCTACTCATTTCTGCCAAAAAGTTTATTAATTTGCCAGATTTTTAGAAAAGTTTGTGTGGTATCCTTGGATATGGTAAGGATTTTACCATTTCAGTTGGCCCTGTTATGTTTTATTTCATTTCATTTATTTATTCATTTATTTATTTTTTAGTTTATCTCAGGTCACTGCCAGAAAAGGCCAAAATTTTGAAGTTATTTCGTCGCGTACATCAATATGAAAATCATTAAAAAAAATACTTTGAATATAAGTTTAACCACCTCGCTTCAAATACTTATTTCAAATGTATTCTTTAAAAGAATTCTCGATGGACTCCATATTTAAAACTTGCTTAATTTTTTCAGCCATTTGTTTTTCAAATTAATTCATCTTGAAATATCTATAAAATTCAAAAGTAATCTTTCCCCAACATAATTTGCAGTGTTCAAAATTACAAGACTACACACAATTACACATTACACAACAATTGACATTGATACTAAAAAAAAAATTTTTTTTTTTAAATAAAAAAAAAAAATTAAAAAACTCAGACATCTTTACTTTGTTTAATTAGTTTTCTATTATTTTTTAATAATTCCTATTATGTATTTTATTTTGATGAATTTAAGTAATTTTTTATCATACCGTTATTCAAACTTAAACAACTTTATTTAAAAGCTCAAATTGAAACATACTATAAGTCCTTTCTAGAAATTTGCACTGAAAGCAAATATGTTTTATTACGCTCTTAAAATTAATCAAACATGCTCTTAAAGTGTTGTGACACAATACCGTATGTTGTTTTTGAAATAGACGTAATTTAAACATAATGATATTCAATTTAAACACAAATAAATGATAATTAAAACAAACAAACAAATAACACTGATTACTGGCCTTAGCAATTAATGCTGCACTTTTTATAGGCTTTAATTTCTCTAAACTTATTTTAGAGTAGCTTCTGTTTATCAATATCAAGTGTTTTTAAATTGATAATGATTAGACAGCTCTTACCGTAAATCAATTCTACAAATTATTTATAGACAGTTTATTGACGATTTTCCTTAACTTAGAGTTTCACAATAGCATTCATTTCTGAACATTATTTTACAATAATGAGATAAAAATTTTACTATTATTTAAATGAGAAATAAAACAAATTTTAATACCTATGAATTTTTAATTTACCTGATAATCGGAAGAGTGTTCCTAAATAATTTTTTGGTAGCATGAAACCCATGTTTGCACGAAGCCCTATCTATGGTAAAAATCACCCCAAAAAATATCAAGCGTTTACGTTATTATGAAATTTCGTTTCAACTATCAACATAAAATTTTTATCGTCATTTTTTTTCTTCATAATTGATGGATACACCTGCTTTATGTCTTTCTTCCATTTTTACAGGTACGTAGAAGCGAAAAAAAAATCGCGTATAGAATATGCAGAATGTTAACACAGGAATAAACAAATACAAGAGTGGTAAATCAAGACTTTAAAGAAACAAGAATAACGAAATAGAAAATCAATACAAAACATAAACAAACACTTACTTACGGAATCTTTTTTCGAGTGTGCTGTGTTGAAAATGTTAAGTTTCAACTGTTAATTCGAAATGTTCGGCAATCGTAATAATTTTACATTTATTGCATATTATATACTATACTTTTAAGGCACCATTCTTAGTAAAAAAAATGATTAAAATAATTTTATTTTAAGAAACATGGTATGAATTAATGAATCGAATTGAAGTTTCACTCAGAAATTTCTAGTTAAACTTCAACTTATGGTTATATAGTTCTAAAAAAATAATTATTACTGATGAATACATAGTACTTTTTTCCTAATATTTAAACATTATAATACACATTGTAATGTTTAAATAACACACATTTTGGATGCTGTTTAAACAAATTAATAGCAAAACAAATGGTGTTTTTTTATTAAACATAAATTTTTAAGCAAAATCATACTAAATCTAGATTTTTATTTTTTTTCTTAAGAAAAGCAACAATAGTTAGTAAAAGTAGAATACATTACATCTAAATTATACGCAATATTTTTTTTTAAATGCATGGAAAGAAACTTACGTCGTAAACAAATATACAAAAAAAGGAGAAAAAAAATCAGGAATAATTTTTTATGTACAAATCTTAAGCTAACAAATAAATGCCCTTGAAATTAAAAAAGATAATTATATTTATTACGAAATAGATTATTTTAATAAATTATAATTCACAAGGACTGCAAATTTAAGTGTCGGATATTAAACCTTACTTAAGTATGTTAATGATAAAACGAGGAAAAATTTTCTTTCCTCTCAGTGTTTCCCAAACTTATGACTTTTGTGCATCCTTTCTGAATGTTTCGTAACGCTGTGTACCACAAATTAAAAAATGAATGCATTTTTTTAAAACTATGTTTATTTTTCTTTCTTGGTAGAAAGTTGTGTTAATTAGTTTATTTGCATTAATGAGAAGGAGGACATTGTTTCTGCTGTGATAACAGGATAAAAATTATATTTTATTCAAATAATCAAAATAAGTAGAATTTATTACTAATCTTTACTATAAAAAAATTGCACATAAGTTAGAAATCACAACTGGCAGTTGACTCCACTAATTATTAACAGTTAACTCTGCAAAAAATAACCAATAGAAAAATACGTAATCGTACATTTTCATGGCTAGCTTTGTTTTTAAATAAAAAAAAGTTTGAAATTTTCGTTCGTTGCAAGACACTGTTCCCGTACCCCTAGGGGTACGCGTACCACACTTTGGGAAACACTGCTCTAATTAAATATTTTTAATATAGTCCTTTTTTAGGTTATAACTTTCACAATTACATTAATAACCTTTAATCGTTATGTCGGGTTTTCGTCGATAGAAAACTGATTATTTAGGATTCTGTAGAGGGAAGCCTAAATAATAATTGGGAACCGCTGCTACAGAGCATGTCATAATAATCACTAATTCAGTTAATTTTATTTTTTTGTTTTGCACTTTTATTAAATGTGTAATAATAAGAGCTATAGTTTTTGAAACCAGAATTTTCGATAAACTGTCGCAATGCGAACGGAAAAATTACCAAATGAATGGTTTAAATACCATATATTTTGGTTTTATTACCAAAAAAAAATTATTTTTTTTTGAGAGAGAGAAATTTAATTTTTTCCTCGTGCGTTATTTTGTGTTCTACTACTTCCGCACTAACTATTTAGACATAAATACTGCAAATGAACCTTAGAATTGAATATCAAATCCAATCTTGGAAATATGGCTATTTTCCTACACTTTGACTTCTACAGTTATTTTAAAAATTAATTTTGCAGATAAATTATTTTTATAGAACTATGCAATTAAACTAAGTATATCAAATTCATTTATTTTCTTCTGTATATCTAAAGAAATATTTTGATGCTATGAATTTAGAAATAGAAATTAATACCTTACATTTCATTTACATAAAAATTATGTATTTTTTGAAGAAAATTTTTTTTTACATATATATTCCTGATTTTGGTACAATTCTCAATCGGTAAATTTTCTCTTTCTCTTTTTTTTGACGTATTAGATAAAAATAAATTAAAATCAATCAGCAATGATGTATTTTTTAAAAACATAAGTCACGTTGACTAAAAAAACAATACAGAGAATAGAAAAGCAATTAATCGCTACAAGGATAAAAATGAATGCACCCACACCCCCTGTGCTGTTTAACACCTCCCTATCCTTGATTATAATCGAAGCAATTTTTTTTCAATCGCATGAAGTGTACAAATATTTTTTTATTCTTCTTCTAGGCCCAACACCCTGAAGCGAATATGTGAAAGCCGCTATATTAGTATTGTTTGTAAAAATAAATAGATAAAAAAAAATTATAAAAATAATAATAACATTTCGTAAGCTGATATTATTCAATTGATGTTTATATTAAAAATATTTCTTCATTATTTTTGCTTTATTTTTAATTGTTTTAAGCGCATTTGTTAAATTTTGGTGCAAGAATAAAAATTCGTGTAAATTTTTGGCTCATAA